GAACATAACGGAGAGTGGCGAAAAAAATATAAGTAATAATTTCGAAAAACTAACATTATTTAACGTAAATCGCATCTTTTAAAGGTAATTAAATGAACTTTTCTTACTAAATGTAAACTTAAAAAAAAAATGTTTAAGTTTGAAAAATAAGTAAACTTATCTTTAGGTTATTTTGTTTTTTATTGTACATAGTTTTTAATTATTATTCAACTTTTGTTAATTTGATGATACATGTGTCCTATCAGTTAGTCATGACCCAACAATTGCGTCGGAAACTCTTCAATCACAAACCACCAATCTTGAACAATGGTGTAAAAACTGGAGGATTAAAATAAATTCCAATAAATCCCATCAAATCACCTTTACCCTTCGTCTTAAACCCATGTCTCCTGCCCTACAGTATCCTTTAATAATACACCACTTACTTATTCCTGTTGAACTAATCCCATAACTTGGACTCCACTTAGACAAACTTCTAACTTGGAATCCTCATACCAGACTGAAACGACAAGAAACCGCTCGACGTTTCCGACTACTCCAGCACTTACTAGACGAACGCTCTAAGCTTACAGTCAATTACAAAAGACTCATATATATGACTACAATAAGACCTATTTGGACTTACGGAGTTGAGCTCTGGGGCTCCACCAGGTCATCGAATTCCCCTCGAATCCAATCTTTACAATCGAAAACACTTAATGCTCCTTACTTTATAAAAAATAAAATAATCCATAACGACCTAAAAGTTCCATATGTTTCCGATTTCACTCAATCCAGATACCCATCCTTTCATAACAAACTTAAGAACCATCCAAACTCTCTGGCTTCCAGCCTTGCTTCCTCTTCGATCCCTGACAACACTCCGAGGCGTCTGAAAAGAAGATGGCCTCGAGATCTCCTTTTGTAAATACATTTTTAGAGTACTACCAGAGGGTAGCTTCTCAACAAGTGGTTTCATGTCATTATATTCTTTTGTTCACATTTACTGAATTTATTCTTATTTGTAATAAAGTTGTAAATATCAACAAAAAAAAAACAAAAAAAAAACTTTTGTTAATTTTATGTTTTCGTATATATGGAGTGAATGTGTTCATATATCACTATAATTATTGTCCACGTGACAGATTATTATATTTCCAAATAAATAAAAAAGTATGAAAAAGTATTTAAATCCACGGATTAAAGGCAATGACATTCTTTAAGATACAAGTCATTGTACTTGTGTGAATGAAGAAGAGATATTCCAACAGTATCCACTTACAATTAGTGTGATAACTTTTGAACTGTCTATGACAGATAGTGCAAATATCGTAATTCCATTTTAGTAAACTTTGCAATGGAAAATAACAGTTTAATAACTAATAGTCGTACAATCCATAATCTACGGATCGTACAATCCATAATCTACGGATCGTACAATCCATAATCAACAGATCTTACAATCCATAATAAACCGGCGATATAATAAATGGAACTTTTGTTATGTTAATGATATTTATGATTTGTTATCTGTAAGCCTTAGCTCGGTTAAAAATGTAATTCAAAAATTTTATAATAGCCCGACATGGCCAGAAAATCATTTCTATTCAAAGTTTAGTGGTAAATAAAAGTTGTGTGTTGGGCGCACCAGATATTTTTTTTAAATAGTGAAAAAAAAATTACTTCATATGATAGATATAATTATAGTTATAGATATAATTTCGATTGGGAATCATTTATTCGTCACAAATAAATAATTATCAGACTTTTATGGTTAAAATTACTTAATGTAATATTAATTTATGCTAAAAATACAACAAAATATATAATATAGCAGAGGTTCCCTAAAGAGGTCTGCATGGCGGAAGTTGCCTCAACGAAATTTTGAGGGAGCACATTTTTATGGAGTTATGGATTTTTCAGTGCAAATATTTTCAGACTGTGTAAACAAGGACAGAAAAGATCTAAGAAAATAAACGGGAAATTTTAATTTCAGTTAGGAAGCGATTATGAAGGACTTCAGTCAGAAACGGATGTTGATACTGAGGATGAAGAAATCAATTAAATTAATTTGTACAGAATATTTTTCTTTTATTTATGTTACTGTTAATTTTTTGCTCTGGAAATATATATATTTTTACCATAAATTAATGTTAAATTAAGTAATTTAACCATAAAAGTCTTATTTTTTATTTATTTGTGACGAATACATGAATTTCAATCGAAAGTTATGGTTATTATATATAATATAAATATGAAGTACATCTACTTCATAGAACTTTAAAAAAATAGTAAAAATAATTTATTATATATAATAACCAGATGTAATAGTGAATACCTACACTTTTGTTGCATTTCCAGAATATGGTACTTATTTGGAAACTTCGATTTTTTTTATATTCCATTTTTATCTTTACATTTAAAAAGCTATTACTATGAAATAATGTATAAGTTATATCATAAAAACTATAATTATATGTAATAAATAAACTATTTCTCATTTTATTTTCAATATTTAAGATTTATGTTCCTAAAAATAACAGCAGGAGTCAGCCAAGGAGCGAGAGGATTTTGTTTGTGATAATAGGAGCATGTCGGTCGAAGATGGAGTGAAGATGAGTGCTTAAGGTTTCTACCATGGTGTCGATGGATTATGAGGAGTAAATACGATCCCATTGAATATCGTCAAAATCGTTTGACAATGTTTCGTGAGTGAGAGAATTTAGGTTTCGGAAGGATATCCGTCGAGGAGAAAAGGATAGGATAGGGATATTGTAAGAAATCTGGATGAGACCGTGGTAAGATAGAAACGGGATCGGGTGCTGAAATGTATGAAGAAGTTTGTCAATGGAACCTAGGGCAAGCAGATCGAGCCAGGACTCCGAGAACTAGGTATATATGGTTGAGTTGTAGGATACTATAAGATAATGGCTAAAGGCTGAGAGAATGGAGGGTACTGAATTGTTACTTATAACTTCTAATTGTTACTTACTTCTAAATGCTCTTCTTATACAGTGATCATAAAACATTTTCATACACGGGATGATACCAGATATAAAAATCAGTAAGAAGTATTCTTTCTTTTATATAGATTTTTTAAAATTTAAACGCATTTTAATAACTTCAATATCAATCGAATGAATTTACTCAAAAATATTTGCCTAACAGTAAGTACATATATTTTTAATATAAATTAAAGTATAAAAAAGAATTTTAATGCAGCAAAACTTTTTTACATAGCTGTGTTATACAATAATTTATTTTACAAACAAATTTTAAATTATTAATATTTTGGATACATTTCTTCGTTTTAGAGTACCAATTGGGCATTGATTAGATCTTCTTTGAAGTCGAATAGGATTTTCCATATATTTTGATTTCTGAGCTATTAGTCGACATAAGTCCATAAACGTTCGATGGGATTTAAATCTGGACTCTGGAGAGGGGTTCTATGTTCATTTGGATAATAACCGTTCGGGCTAAGGACTACTATCCTGGTAAAATGAAAACTCTTGCTACATTAAAATTTTTATTTTATACTTTAATTTGTTATAAAAAAGTATGTTTTTGTTGTTATGCTAACAATTTTTAAAATATTGATAAGATTTGTGTTGAATTTATAATTGGTGTTCAAATAAAGAAATATGTCGGAAAGAATTGTTGTTTTTTTGCCACCTATCATTCCATGTTTAAAAACTATTGCTGGACAGGTTTCTGAATTGCAAATTTGTACTGTTTTTCGGCCATTTGTAGAAACTAAATAAATAAATACGTATTTTAAAGACCCGCATAACACTTGAATTGTTCTACATTAACGGGAATGTGTAAAATGTATGCGCCAGTCAACTGGAATGCGACTGGCACCGTGTAAATGAGCTTTAACCGTAATCGCCAGTCGACTGGAATGCCAGCGACTGCCACCATTGACTGGCACCGTGTAAATGAGCCTTAAATGTACAATTTGTAGCCAAGCAAAATTAAAAAAAAAAAAATCTGGCGAGCTCATACCTCAACTTTCACTTACCTCTGTACTTCGAATAGAAATTATTTTCTGACAATGTTGGGCTATTATACAATTTTTTGAAGATCATTTCTAACGGAACTAAAGCTTTAAACAGTGCCATACAAATAACATAAACCCTATTTATTATACTAAGGCACAGTGGGGCCGATCGCCGATCTAGGAGGGCAAAAACAAGGTCCAAAATATGAGAAATGTAATATATCAACCTTTTTATAGATAGTTGGTGATCTAAAAAGTGGCCTAGTAAATTTTCAAAGTTCGCTTTAACCCTCACAGTAGAGTGTTAGAAGAGAGAGGTTTGGGCGAGAAGGCCTTCAGATTCACCAGTTGACAATTAGTTCTAGCATTACTTTATTCATAAACTAGCTTTCTGCTGTGGCTTAGCCTGGCAAAATGAAAAAGAAAGAAAATAGAAAGCACATACGAGTAGATTAATAGCAAAGGACATCTGTCATTTTTAAAAAGTTGGGAAACAAATTTGTCTGTAAAATAGCTTCAATTTAAACTAATTCTAATGATTTTTTTTTCTCATGATTCAAATTGAACATTCATAATCATCTGAGTGAATACGCCGTCATTCATAATCATCAGAAACACTCTAGGTTGAACCTATAAAACTAAAATAAAAAATTAATATAAAGAACGTATAATAGTATTGACCTACATAAGGATCTTTGAAAAATATTATTTTATCCGCATACAATGTTTTTGACCTGACGAACGGACCTCACAAATTTTAATAAATTTTCCGCTTTATGATAAAAATAAGGAATGTGATAATAATCACCGCTCATAATTTGAAATGATGCCATATCTACTAAAGGTGCCTATTTAGGCGTTTATAGCATTAAAAAATAATAAACTTAATGTTTTTACCTTATACAATCTTACAATTATAAATATCAACAAAAATTGTTTAACAATCAATTATTTATAGAATTATTGTTTTAATTTTATTGATTTTAAACAAAATATTAAAATAAAGTTTGTCATACAGTGTGTTGCTTTCTACTGCTATTCGAATGGCCCAGGTGACGTACGGTTGCGACTTTAAAGTACCTCTAGTAAGTAGAGTGGGCCAACTTGAAAAGTTCTCAAGCGATGGTGCCAATAGGACGTCGTTCCTGCTCTGGGGCGCCAGATATCAAATGAGAAATCTGGGTATGAAGATGAAACTTTATTTTGCAATTGTTTCAAAATAACTACATGGACTTATACTAATTGATCAAATCATTAGGTCGAATGGCAATAAACCAGAAGATGATTGAACATAATATAACTGGATGATTCGGGAGCGGGCATATATCGGGAAAGCTACGAAGACAACTTCAGTTATCATTGATGCAGTTTGCAAGCATTAATGTGTTGTGCCAGATCAGTATCCTCGAGGTGACACTGGTATCTGTTTACAAATTAAGTCATAAAATTTCGACGAGGAGTCCACTTCTCTAACTAATGATATGTTCTATTTTTATCGCGTCTGTGAAGAAATTAATTAATTCTCAAAAATAAACAAGTAAGCAGCCTAATGTCTTTATCTCTTACTATCTTGAAATTATAAAAATCAAACTTTTTATTTGGTTGGTCTAGAGTGACATTCGGAGCTGTGGGTGCCTCTGTTGGAGTGGGCAGACTTGAAAAGTCTTCATAATTTCTCGTAAACGATGGTGCCAAAAGTACGTCGTCGTTCCTGTTCTGGAGCGCCAGTCATCAAATCCGAAGATTGTGTGAAAAAACTTTATTTCGCACTGTTACAAAAGTATTACATTTAACTAATACTACTTGATCAAATGACAGATCTATTGACAATAATCCAGACGAAGTCTATACATGAGATTATTGGATGATTCGGGAGCGGGTATAGGAATCATAGGCCATTTTTCTCTTTAAACTAAGCTCTAATCTACTTTTTTCTCTTTTAACTGAGCTCTAATCAACCTTTTTTCTGTTAAAAACAGGGCTTGAAGTTTAATTCTTTCCAAAAGTGACCCTAATTAAACTTCAATGTTTTTTTAATTAATATTGAAATAATCAGTGATTATCGGAAATATCGCTACAAAGAAAGAATTTCCTTATTTATTATTTTTATAATATTAGTTATGATGGGAACAGAAAATAGTGTTTTGCATTAACTGATGACTAGGGTTCACTGTGGAAATAATATACAAATTAACTCCCAAGTATAAACACTAAAATATGATATGAATTCTATTATGTTTCTTCAGATTTTCAATGGTAACATAATTGAATTTTATTTGTTTTGAGGCTAAAATAATTGGTATATACCACTTGTTTATCATGCTCAGAAAGAAAATGAAAGTCCACAATCTCTTTATAAGTCATAAGCATTTTAAGATGATTAACAAAATTGGTTATATATATTTATCAATCAAGTTAATAGCAAATTATAACTTTTAACATAATTTGTATTAGTTAGATAATTTATGTTATAAGTATTGACTGGCTTATATCATGATTTATTTATTATAATAATACTCTTAATTATTAGGTGTATAATTGCTGAATTCATACACTATAGAAGTGCTTTTAACAACTAAGGTGGACCCAACAGTTTTAATGGGTCTATTTTATAAATATAAATATATTTAGAAGTGTGAATCCTCAAATTTTTAATATATAAGTGGAGTAAATCTAAATGGGTTGAAATCCTGTTTTATTAAACACTAATTCAATAAGATAGTAAATAAAGCCTTTGCTAGTGATATAATATGTTTTCCCAATTTAATTCTATAAATATGGTCTATATTTTATTTTGATGACTTAATAATACTATAGCTTGTTAATTTGTTCCTATTTAGTATTGTAAAACTTTATTGGTCATCAACATCATTATTAACTCTGATTTATTTATTTTACACACAGACTTTTTATTAATACTGTTGTGTAATTTACCCATAGTACAATATTTATAATTATCTTTAACTTTACTTTTAAGAGAGTAAGAACAATAAGGAAATAGTGGTGATTTTACATCATATTGATCATTTGTGAGAATTTTGAACTTGGTTTCTCTTAGTGAGAATGCATAGCAATATTTGTATTTAATTCTTGTGTAAGTTTACTATTTAAGTCTAACATTTTCGAGGTGTTATATATAATAAATGTTTTATTTAATTTTACAACATGTATGCATAATTTCATTATTGTCGACATTGTTAAAAAATACAAAACTGATACTACTAAACTTACTATTTTCTATTTCATATTAGAAAGAATATATATAACTGTATAGTAGTTTGGTATGTTTTATGTTCATTTACACTATATCTTAATTATAAAATTCATTAAGTATTAGTGTATTTATTTAAATATCATTTATTATGAATTAAATCTGCTTGTTATCTATTTAATGTATTTATTTCATTGTACATTATTTGATAAAATCATTTTACAGATGCTTTAAACCAGGTGTCTTCAATCTTCTTGAATAGAGACCTCCAATAATTCCTGTGGACCATGAATTGTAAAAAAATTTGTTCTGTAAATGACCCTTCAGTTGAGATAGCTTGAGCATGAGAAACAATTCATGCAATGAACGTTGTAGGGACCTGCTGTAAAAAGTAATTCACTAAATTTAATATTTTTTTTTTATTTCTTAATGACATTTACAACTGTATTAAATAAACACACTTGCTGAGTAACTATCCAATGGTAGCACTCTAATGATATAACTACATTAGGAGATCACGGGGCCATTTTCTTATCAGACGCCTCGTGGGTTATCAGGAATAGAAGAGGAAGCAAGGTTAGAAACGAGAGGGTTGGGATGATTCTGAAGTTTATTATGGAAGGATATGTATCTGGATTGGGCCAGATCTGAAACATAAGGAATATTAATGTCTTTATGGATAATTTTATTAATGACAAAGTAAGGAGCATTGAGGATTTTACGAAGGATTTTGGATTGTAAGGATTGGATGCGAGAGGAATTCGATGGTAAGCCCCCATAGCTTAACTCCGTAAGACCAAATAGGTCTTATTATAGTCAAGTATATGAGTCTTTTGTAATTAATGGAAAGTTTAAAGAGTTTGTCTAGTAAGTGCTGCAGTAATCCGAAACGTCCAGCGGTTTCTTGTCGTTTCAGTCTAGTATGATTCCAAGTTAGTCGTTTGTCCAGGTGGAGTCCTAGGTATCGGATTTGCTCAACAGGGATAAGTGGAGTATTGTTAAAGGAAACTGTAGGACAGGCAGTCGTTGGTTTACGACGAAGGGATTTTTAAATATATTTTAAAATTTTACCATGTAACCAAAGAAGCAAGGAACATTAGAGGAGCTGGCAGGATCGGAGGCCTCTGCTGTAAACTATTAATGTTACTAATTTATGTCTTGTTCTTTATCTTCCTCATTTGTACCTCTCAATGTAGTAGTATATTTGTGATTTCAAGGTGTCTGTTATATCTCTTTCATATAAAATAATAGTATACAAAAACAAAACAATTGTATGTCAACTTTTCCAACAGGAAGTCATGTTAGAAGTGAACTGTTGTTGCAAAAATATTCAGTATCCTAATGTAAAGTAAAAGGTTTGATTTTGATTTTAATTATTATTATTTAATTTTTAAAAATAAATTTTAATATGAAAACATGTAATAGAAAAAATATCTAATATATGAAATATAAACATTAAAAAAAGAAACAAACTGAAATGAAATATAATTTTAATTTTTAATTAAATTTAATTAAGATGTCGGCATAATTAGTATTGATATTATTAAAAAATGAAGTTATGAAATATAATAATACAAAAAAATTGTCAATTCACTTTGTAGTTAAGAGATATATGGGTTCTGTTAACCCAGTCCGACATTATAGGAACTTTAAATCACTTAATCTTCAAACAAATGATACTTACTTACAGAGCAAAATGACATAAGCCACTGTAGGGCACATTTTATTTGATTAATTGATTGATTTGATTAATGAATAAAAAAATTGTATTCCAATCTTTTATTTAAATAATAATTAATTAATACATTATTTATCAAAAAAAAATATTAAAATTACTTTATCTATTATTCAATAGAAAAATATTTGTTTAATATAAGTAAATTTATTGAATAATTAATAACTCTAAAAATATATTTTGTCTTTGTATTTATAAAATTATGCCTGGTTCTTGAAAATTTTACTGGTTTTAAGATAACATGATATGTGATGTCACTATCTTAAAATTGATAGTATTTTCATAAAAAATGTCCACAATAGTTTTAGTCCAATCCAAAAGTTAGGCTTAATATTGAAGAAATTTGATAAATTAAAATATATCGATAAAGGAGTCCAAATCTTGAACTAATTATAGGTTTTTTTATATATGTCTGACGATTTAAGAAATAGCCTTAAATCGAATAATAGTATTTAAATATTTCATTTTATATATTTATTTATTTATAAATAATTATAAATAATTTATTTATTTTATGTTTTTTATAGTAATTATATAGTTATTTTGCACCATTCTGAATAAATTAGTTGGTAGCAAAGGGGTATAAGTGCAACTCATCATTTTAAAACATTTCTAAATATGTAAAAAAATCATTGCAATTACAGAACAGGTTTAACTTGAATGATCCATTACTCAAAACTTAGTTTCTGTTACTTGTGTCCCCTTCTTTCTAGGATATTAATTTAATGTGTGAGGGATTATAGTTCATACACAAGCATTCTTTAGTCAATGTTTATTTATTCCTTTGTACAAATTCCTGTTGTCTTGATAATAAATTTTAGCTTATTATACTCTAAAATTTATAGAAACTTGAAATTTGTCATATAAATTCTAAAACCAACTAACTCTATTTTAATAACATTATGAGAGAAGAAAAAAACAGAATTAAAAAAAATTGCTAAATTTCTTCCTAATGACCTCCGTTCTGTAATTATTAACATATTTCAACTTCAAAACATCTTGGAATGATATATTTGACATATGCATTGTTAACATTTGATTGGATATGAAGAAACTAATCTAGCTAGTTACATATCTCATTTAGATCACAATTGAGTTTGACAGTTTAGAATTTATGAATTCAACTCAATTTTACTGTACAAGAAGTGTATTGGATTAATAACTTATACTATAATATGAACAAATAGATATTTTAAAAGTAGATGTTTTAAGATACAAATACTTTACTCAATAATATATATATATCTTATTTTATGTTTTAAAAAAATTAACAAGAAGCTAGCAAAAAACAAATTAATAAAATAAAATCAATGAAATATCAAAATTAAAATAACAACTGATGTAAAAGTGAATTGTAAGAAACAAAATGTCTTATGCTAATAAATAAAAATATATATTTACAAAAACAATATAATAATTATAATTAATTATACAACGATATCCTATTTTAAAAAATAATCAAAAATAGTAATAATTTAAAAATTATTAAAGAAAGAAAAATAATTTTGCTGAGGAAACTGTTCAATGATGTACTCAGGCAATGTTAATTATATTAAACTTTTAGTAGACTATGTTAACAACAGAGCTTTCTCGGTGCACTTTCATTATTACCTAACACAAAAGTTCAATACTAACCAGGTCATGCCTATACCAGCAATGATGGCGGTAGGATGTGACAGTACCAAGCATAATAAATAATAAATTTTATATTATACAAGCATACAGAATTGTACAGACATTATGGGACACGTCATTGACAATCTCAGAAACCTCCAGAACTACAAGACGGCTTCAGCCTTGCATGAATCGAGCTTCAAATCTGCTGCACAAGAAGCATTCCTTGATATTAATAGTATACCTTCCAACTTTAATAGTGCTCTACAGTGATGGTGATGGCTTATCACACATTAGATGCCCGATTTGCGACATTAGACATACACCTCCATATTACAGACGGATGCCAATATAGAGAACAGTTCTTAAAAGCGAAAATAATAAACAAATATTGTGCTTAAGGTCTACTCCATGGTGGATAGAGTATACCTAGTATATATAGAGCAGTATAATAAATTATAACTACAATACAAATTATAACTGGTAAGGCTTAACTCTCTTCTTAAATAAAAAAAAAATGGGCAAATATTACGGTGAAAATTTACTTGGTGTTTCAATATACTACATTTTATACTACGTTGTTTATTTCTATATATACTCTATTATTGATCCCAGCATTGCTTAAGTTAAGAGAGCAAAGGAGGACCTAACAAGTTCAACTTTTCCATTTATCTACTTTATGTCCTCGGATGAAAAGACAGGAACTCAAAACTCATATAAAATCAAATAAACAACAATCATAATAATAATTTAAAATAATAATCTTAAAGTAAAATTAAGAAAATAAAACGAACTTAAAAAAAATGTTTGTAAAAAGATTTTAATAATAATCAAATTAACGCACTCATGAAAGATATAACAAAATCAAAAACAAATAATAAAATTAAACCCTTACTAGGGTTGGATGGTCGTGTTAACTTAAATTTAATCAAAAGAATAAATAATCTTACATTAATTAATCAAAAGAAAATGGAAATTGTGAAGAGAAATGAAGGCATATTTAATGAAACTGGACAGATAAAAAATTATGAGTGTCACATTAAAGTGGATAAATCTTTAGCACCAGTTATCAGACCTCCTAGAAGAGTACCTTTAACTATTGACAGGTTGCAAGAAAAGTTAAACCTTTTGGAGAGTGAGAAACAGTTATTGAAAAAGTGGATGGTCCAGTTACATGGCTCAGCAATCTGGTAGTAATTGAAAAATTCGATGGCGAACTTCGAGTATGTTTGGATCCAACTGATCTGAATAAAGCCATCATTAAAACACCCGAATTAATACCTACCTTGCAAGAAGTAACTTCTCAGTTAGCAGGTAAATGTTGGTTTTCTTTACTTGATCTTAAGGATGGCTTCTATAATATTAAACTGGACAAAGAATCATCTAAGGTGTGAGCCTTTTCAACACCTTTTGGGTGCTATAAGTTCCTCAGACTCCCTTTCGACGTATCCAACGTCCCTGAGGAGTTCCAAAGAGTAAACACTTCCATATTTTCAGATATTCCTGAACTTATAATATATTTTGATGGCATTTTAATTGCAACTAAGACAGAAAAAGAACATGATGAAGTTCTACATAAAGTATTAGAAAGGGACCAGGATCAAGTAATTTAAAATTTAATCCTAGTAAAGTTCTGCGCATGCACTAGATTTGATTGCCACGTTTCTACATCGTCTCCCACAGTTTCTCTTTTTTAAGTGGAAAAAGTTTACTTTTTTTACTCAAAAACTAGTAACGCCAAGATCAACACAGCAGCAACAACAATGGACTAATACCACAGTGAGTAGTGTTGATATTTACTGTGTATTCTATAGTCAGTGAAACCAGTGTCCGAGGTGCCTTATCGCTTCATCTACCAGACGTAGGTCTGATACTCCCCACTATAGCAGTCGTGGCTCTGCCATGGATGAAGACGGATGGAGCTGCGCTAGTCGTTTCTCCAAGTTCAAGGACAAGCAGACGAATTTTTATTTTCGTTATTTTTTATTATATTAGATGCGATATTTTCATCAAGTGATGTCCACTAAGAGGTCTTGGTCTGCTGGCTCCACCCCTCGTAACTCACCACCTAAACAAAAAAACTCGTCGCAGTAAGCGATCGACACCCCCCGGAACTCCTCCAGCAAAAATTCAAGATTCTACACCTCAACCGCAACCCAGTACCTCTTCACAACAAATGGTCTCTGAATCTCCTTTTTTTACACCCAATCCATACCAGGTGTTTCAAAATGACAGAAAGGAGATGGATTCTGCACCGATACCTAGAGAACCACGGCCTCCTCTGATCTTTATCAAAAATATTAGAAATTTGCAATTACTACGTACCCAATTAAATAAAATCTGTCCTGATAGCTTTTCATGCCTTAACAGGACTACTGACACAAAAATAACACCGGCCACATCTGAAGCCTATCAAAAAATAATCAAGTATTTGACCGAAACAGGAGCGGATTTTCACACATATCAGGTGAGGGAGGATAGATCATTAAGAGTAGTGATAAGAAACTTACACTCCTCAACCCCAACTGAGGTTATCAAGGATGAGCTAACGACGTTAGGGTTCAATGTTCGCCAAATAACAAACGTTCTGAAAGAAAATAGAGACCAGCCAGGAGTAAAAACTAAAATTTCACTGCCCTTATTTTTGTGGATCTGGAGCCAACACCAGGGGTGGAAAAAATATACGACATACATCGATTATACTATAACATTATAAAGGTTGAAAAACCATATCCGAAAAAAGAAATCGTCCAGTGCCACAATTGTCAGGCATACGGCCACACTAAGTCATATTGCCACCACATGCCGCACTGCGTGAGGTGTGGCGAATCACACAAATCTGGAGAATGTACCAAACCAATAAAAGATCCTGCAGTCAGTGCCCTATCTTGGCGGGTCATCCGGCCAACTATAAAGGTTGTGAAATCTATAAAAACCTCAAAGCTAGATACAAGCCTCAGAACCATGATGCTACATCTAAACAAAGAAGAGGACCCGCTAAAATCGTGGACTCTTAAAGTTTCCTTTGCTAAGTTACTCGGAAGTAGAGACCCGACTAATGAATGTGAGGTCCTGCCGGAACAACCAACTCAATCCCTACCTCAATATCATATCCCTCCTAATTTACCTAAACCTCAACAACCTAACCAATATCAAATCCCTCACATTCCCCCACCGTCCAATGCCACAGATCTTACTAGTTTATTGACATCCTTCCTTACCGAATTTAAATCCCTTGTCACCCCACTGATATCACTTCTTACAAACCTATTATCTCATCTCATTCCTCCTTTAAAAAATCCTTAAATGACTTCCATCAAACCCATATCCATTCTCCTATGGAATACGAATGGTGTTAGAAATCACACATACGAACTAACAGCCTTACTAATAGACAAGAACATTGATGTAGCCCTAATTACAGAAACTCGACTGACCAAAAAACAGCTTTTGAAAAGACCACAGTACTTAACATATCGGACAGACCATCCTGACGGTAGAGCACATGCTGGTACTGCTGTCATCGTACATCAATCCCACTCTCATCACATACTCCCATTGCCTAATCACGATTTCCTACAATCCACTGCAGTTGTAATCAAAACCTTTTCCTTTCCTGTCACCATTGCATCAGCATATAGCCCTCCTAACCTTTCTATCTCCAATGTCCACTTCACCTCTCTCCTAAATTCCTTAGGAAACCACTTCATCAGTGCAGACTTAAACGCCAAGCATCAACAATGGGGTTCAAGAACCACGAATTCTCCTGGTCGAACATTACTGTCTGCACTCAATTCCCAATGTTTTACCCTCCTTCCACCCAATTCACCTACCTACTGGCCCACTGACCCTAACCGTAATCCCGATATCCTCAATTTCCTTATCCACAACGGTTTAGGTACCCTCCACCAATCCGTTGCACATCTTGATGAGCTTTCCTCAGACCACAGCCCATTAATATTTCAAGTATCATTAGCTCCCATTCCTAAACCCTCTCCACCATCCTTCATCAGAGGCCTAGTTAACTGGAAACTCTTTCATCAAATCCTCTCCGATAAAATTGACCTCAGAGCAACCCTGAAAAACTCCGAAGACCTGGACAATGCTGTTCATTCCTTTACGACTAAAATCCAGGAAGCATTATGGACGGCTTCCTCTCCTGATCATTCCTCAAAAATCCTCAAGAAACCCAATTTACCTCAACACCTCCTTGACCTAATCGATATAAAACGCTGTGCCAGATTATTATGGCATCCCGCCGACGGCCACTCCTACAATTATCACTGTAAAAAATTAAAACAAGAATTAACCACCTTCAGATCCCGATCATTCAACTCCTACCTCACCACACTCTCTGCTTATGATAATTCCCTCTGGAATACCACCAAAAGAATCCTGAAATCCCATCATATTTCCCATCCCCTTCGTCGAGGTAATGGTACCTGGGCAGCGTATGATGTAGACAAAGCTGAGGAATTTGCCTAGCGCCTTTCCTATACCTTCACTCCCCATCTAGAATCTCATCCTACCCACACAGTAAAAGTAGAAGAATTCCTTTCTTCACCTATCCCACTCTCTTTACCACCTAATCCCTCCCAGTTAATCCCTCTGAGGTCAAATACCTATTACGCAAAACTACTCCTCGTAAATCTCCTGGATACGACCTTCTAACTCCACAGATCCTACGACAACTACCATCCAAAGCGTTCATATTTTTAACCATATATATACAATTGTATCCCCTAAACTACCCACTTCCCTCTCTTATGGAAACATTCCACCATCATCCTTTTCCTGAAACCAGGCAAGCCTCCCAATAATACATCATCCTATAGATCAATTAGCCTACTCCCAATTCTTTCAAAAATTTTTGAAAAGATCCTCCTGAAAAGAATCCTACCCATAATAGACTCCCGTAAAATTCCTACCCATCAATTCGGATTCCGTTCCCAACGTTCTACCGTCCAACAAGGACTCCGAGTTGCTGACCACATATTCTCAGCCCTAGAAAACAAGCAGTTTTGCTCGAGTGCATTTCTGGACATAGCACAAGCTTTTGACTGGGTGTGGCACGCCGGACTGCCCTTCAAACTCGAATCCCATCTATCACAGTCCATATATCTAATACTACAATCCTACCTCTCCGACCGCTCCTTTCGAGTTCACTGTGGTACAGAATTTTCTGACTGTTATTCAATTGAGGCTGGAGTTCCTCAAGGCAGTGTCTTGGGTCCCATCCTTTATATCATCTATACCGCTGACATTCCCGTCCA